CAGGGCTGATCTTCCTCACAAAAAAAAAAAAAAAAAAAAGTCTAACCTGAACCATACCTTTTTCACCACTCCCTTCACCTGAACTTAGCTGCCCCTGCCCTCGTCCCTCTCTAGTCAGTCCCAAAGAGGCCAAATATGTCCCCACCTGAGGGCCTTGGCAGGCGAATCCTCACAGGGACCACCTCCCATTTCGTCCCAGTCACCAAACGTAAGGTCCCTCAACCGAGGCCTTCAATGCCCATGGGCTCCGAACAGCACGCTAACCTTCACCACCATGATCCCCTGCTTCTTTCTTCAGCCACTCGGTGTCCCTCTGAAATACCTTGTCTGACTTGCTGACCCACCCACATTAGCGTACAGACACAACAAAAATGGAAATCTCATTTGGTAGGTGTCTTGACCTCCCCAACACCCTGACCAACCTAGAAAATGCTCAAGTAAACACATAAATGCCGCAACAAAGGCTCATCAGAATGGAAGTACCTAGGGAGCACGAGGATGGAAAGACAGATCTGGAGCTTAAATCTGGGTTTGCATCCTGGCGTCCACCTTTGGTGACTCTGGTAAGATACCTAACTTCTCTAAGTCGACTGTTAAGAATGAACCTGACTAGGGACCGGCCCCGTGGCTTAGCAGTTAAGTGCACACGCTCCGCTGCTGGCGGCCCAGGTTCGGATCCCAGGCGCACACGGATGCACCACTTCTCCGGTCATGCTGAGGCGGCGTCCCACGTACAGCAACTAGAAGGCTGTACAACTATGACATACAACTATCTACTGCGGCTTTGAAGGAAAAATAAAAGTTTAAAAAAAAAAAAAAAAAAGAATGAACCTGACTAGCTACATTAGAATATTCTAAGTTTACAGTAGCTCATGATGCTGTCCCTGGAACATAGTAGGGCTCACTCACTGAGATTGAGACCCGTATTTGTTGACACCCATCACTGGGATACATCACGGGATCCTCAAGTACCTCACAGACACGTCGTGGCACACAAGCACCTTACCTAGTTAAGCGTGGTGAGGCACAGGCACCTTAACTATTCACGTGTGGTAAGGCATATGCACCTTAACTAGTCAAGTGTTGTGAAGCATAGATGCCACGACTAGTCAAGCATTGTGAGGCATAGGCGCCTTAACTAGCCAAGTATGGTGAGATATAGGTGCCTCAACTAGTCAGGTGTGGTGACCCCTAAGTGCCTTAACTAACCCAGCACTGTGAGGCACAGGTGACTTAACTAGTCATTGCATGACCTACAGGAGCCATAGCTAATCAAGTGTTGTGAGACATAGGCACCTTAACTAATCGGGGTGGTGACCCACAGGCCTTAGCTAGTCAGAGGAGTGACCCACAGGCGCCTTGACTAGCCAGGAGGATGACCCACAGGCCTTGACCTAGTCAGGGTGGTAACCCACAAGCCTTGACTGATCGGGGTGGTGACCCACAGGCGCCTTGACTAATCTGGGACGTGACCCACAGGCTGTGACTACTCAAGAGAAGTGACCCACAGGCGCCTTGACTAGTCAGGGGAGTGATACACAGGCACCCTGACTAGTCTGGTGGTGACCCACAGGCCTTGACTAGTTAGGGAAGGGGTGTACGTGTGACCCACAGGCCTTAACTAGTAGGGAGGAGGTGGCCCACAGGTCTTGACTAGCTGGGGTGGTGACCCACAGCTTCTGACTAGTTAGGGAAGAGGTGTACGTGTGACCCACAAGCACCTTGACTAGTCGGGAAGGGGGTGACCCACCAGCCGTGACTAGTCTGCTGGTGACCCACAGGCCTTGACTAGTCGGGAGGTGGGTGACCCACAGGCCTTGACTAGTCTGCTGGTGACCCACAGGCCTTGACTAATCGGGAGGCGAGGCTGGTGACCCACAGGCCTTGACTAGTGGGGAGGGAGATGATCCACAGGACTTGACTAGTCGGGAGGGGGGTGACCCCCAGGCCGTGACTAGTCGGAAGGGGGTTGACCCCCAGGCCGGGACTAGTCGGGAGGGAGCTGACCCCCAGGCCGGGACTAGTCGGGAGGGGGTGACCCACAGGCCGACACTGCTCCAAGGCCCAATGCCCGCCTCCCCCGCCCGCGGCGGCCCGAGGGAGCCCCGCCGGGCATCGCCTGACCCCTCGCCGGCCGGGCCGGGGCGGAGCCC